AAAAAAAAAAAAAAAAAAAAAAAAAAAAAAAAAAAAAAAAAAAAGAAAAAGAAGAAACGATTCGACGTGGAAAATATTATTTCACCGTGCAAACCAAAAATGTTTCTTGATGGCCATTAAACTTGGACCGGCCAGCAAATGCTCCCGATCCATTTTTACCCCCCGTGGGGGTGCATTTTCGTCAGAAACGGATTAAAGAAGTAATGTATTCCGTTAGGGAGCAGCGACGGTGAAATCCTTTCCATTTGACCGCCGATATCCGCCAGCTTTCATCAAAAGCCTGGCCATCGTGCTTGCAGCAACGCGCGGCACCGCACTCCCGACTTCGCCGTGAAAGTTAAATTGCCTCGGTTTTCATGTCATCTGTGAATTTTTCCGCCTCTTTTTCTATTTCGCGAGGCACGGCATTCTCGCAGAGATAGGTATGCACGCGCGCGCGCGTAAACTCTGCAAACCCTCCCATCCCCTCGCCCCACAACTCCACGTTTCGGACGTTGAATTTTAACGATTTCCGGATTCCGGGTCCTTTTGAATCCGGCTCGTTCGAAAGGGATCGCCTTAATTGAACATTCGGTGTCTTCCAAGTGGAGATTTGGGGGGTGAGAGGGGGGAGGGGAAGGGTTGGAACGTTAAACGAACCGACAGAGGTCGATGGAAGAGATTTAACCGGGAAGACGGGACGAAAGTTCGATCGGGTCTGTCGATGCAGGGGCTTTCGAGTCCAGCGACGATGAAAATCCACGGCTTCCCATACGTACACCGCTGCTCGCAAATACGCGCACCGCTTTTTCGATCCTCGTAACGAGACTTTTTGCAGACATTTTAGGCACTTTTCCATTTTTACGAAACGTTATACCCTGTATAGAGCGGGTCACGAAACAGTTTCGGTGCTTTCAATGATCTAATGAAAAAAATGTATTTAGTCAGTGATAAATTACAGCTTTAAAAAGCTACGGGAAAGTGTTTTGTCGAACAAAAGACGAAGATCAGTTTGGCTTTTTTAAGAACTGTATTTTTTTTTTTTTTTTTTTGGATATCGTAGCGTTATATCGAACACAATTATCCACGATTTTAAATTGTCACAAATCTTGACAGTACTTTTAATTTCATCATCATAAGTTCAACTATTAAAATTGAAATCGTATTAATTTCGATCGTAGTCATAAAGTTTAATTTAATTAAACTAGATAATAAGCTAAAATTGTTGTTCGACCATAGATTATTGCATAAAAGTAAGTGTCCAGATACTTTTGAGGGCTAATGTACGAGAGGCTCGTGCTTTCGTACAGGTATACTGTCTACCTACGTATCCACGCAGTACACCTTGATGATCGATATTCGATGGCGATTTATATATACGCGTTTCGCTTTGGATTCTGCCACCGTTTTCTCGACTTTCTTTTTTTCTTCTTTTTTTATTTTTTTTGCGTTTACAGTCGATATAATCGCGGTTTGACCGTGTGGTTTTACCTATATCGGCGGCCGATATGAACGTGGCGGAGCCGGAGTATGAAAAATATTTGGGGAAAAACTAAAGGAACGATGGCGGTGGCATCGGTGGAAAACAGAGGCAACGTGGTGGAAATCGAACGACAAAAATTCAGGGGATGGATGGTGAAGCTTGAAACGAGAACGATGAAAACGGGCATGAAAAAAGATATACGAAGCGTTATATTTACATATGCTACGATAAAATCGGAGTGAAACGCAGAACTAGGATTCTCGAAAGCGGAATGGAAGAAACTTTAGGTCTTGGTTTGCACAAATTACGACTTACATGCATTTATCTATCGATGCTGTACGCCTTCTCTTGTTATCAAAGACAGTCTTTCACGTACGTGCAAATTTTTTCATGCTCGATAGATCAAACGAGACCCA